TACTATGGAAGACAGTGGCTACCAAATGCCAGCATTCTTTAAAGTGCCCCTATTATGGGTTTTTAAAATGAGTTGTTACGCAGCCAGCTGAGGTTTAAATCTGAAAGTGCACCATGTTTAAAACTATTGATTCTTAAACAAAATAGTCGACTCAGTCAAATGAATTAATCTTTTTGGTTTCGAATCGTTTGCCTGCACAAGAGGAATGCACAGTGAAGTATGTGTATGCTGATTATTTTGGTGAATATTTAAAAATGTTTACAAGGCAAACTCTTTCAGTAAGCTATGTTCGGTTTTAGCCACATTTGCCAGTTGCATTTGTATGCAGCATTCTTACAGTATATGCATAACATATACATTCTGTTTATATTATTACTAGTATCCATTCTGTCTCTTATTCTGTATACAGTCAGGTCCATAAATTTTGGGACATCCACACAATTCTAACATTTTTTCCTCTATACACTAACACAATAGATTTGAAATGAAATGAACAAGTTGTGCTTTTACTGCAGATTGACAGTTTTAGTTTGAGGGTATTTACATCCAAATCAAGTGAACTGTGTAGGAATTACAACAGTTTGCATATATGCCTCCCACTATGTAAGGGCACAAATGTAATGGGACAACTGGCTTCTTAGCTTTTCGCTGGCCAGGTGTGTGTTATTCCTACATTATCCCAATTACAATGAGCAGATAAAAGGTCCAGAGTTTATTTCAAGCGTGCTATTTGCATTTGCAATATGTTACTGTCAACTCTTAAGACGAGATCCACAGAGCTGTCACTATCAGTCAAGCCAGCCATCATTAGATTAAAAAAACAAAACAAACCCATCAGAGATATAGCAAAATACATTAGGCGTGTTTTGAAAATTCTTTAAAACAAGAAACACACCAGTGAGCTCAGCAACACCAAAAGACCCTGAAGACCTTCACTACAGTTGGCCAGATCAAAAACACTCTTCAGCAGGTAGGTGTATGTGTGTGAAAGTCAACAATCGAGAGGAGTTCACCAGAGTGATACAGAGGGTTCACCACAAGATGTAAACCATTGGTGAGCCTCAAAAGCAGGAAGGCCAGATTAGAGTTCTGTAAGTTCTAAAGCATTCACAGTGCTGGAACGACATTCTATGTACAGATGAGATTATCTTGTACCGGAGTGATGGGAAGAGAAGAGCATGGAGAAGGAAAGGAACTGCTCAGGATCCTAAGCAGTGAAGCATGTTGATAGTAGTGTCATGATCTGGGCATGTATGGCTGTGAATGGAACTGGTTTTCTTGTATTTATTGGTGATGTGACTGTTGACAAAAGCAGCAGGATGAATTCTGAATTTTTTCGGGCAATATTATCTGCTCATATTCAACTGAATGCTTCAGAACTCATTGGACGGCGCTTTACATAGCAGATGGACAATGACCCAAAGCATCCTGCAAAAGTACCCAAAGAGTTTTTGAAGGGAAAAAAGGGGAATGCTATGCAATGACCAAGTCAATCTCCTAATCTGAATCCGATCAAGCATGCTTTTAACTTGCTGAAGACAAAACTGAAGGGAAAATGCCCCAAGGACAAGCAGGAACTGAAGACGGTTGCTGTAGAGGCCTGGCAGAGCATCACCAGGGATGAAACTCAGCATCTGATGATGTCTATGCGTTCCAGACTTCAAGATGTAATTGACTTCAAAGGATTTGCAACCACGTATTAAAAAATGAAATTTTGTTTTATGATCATTATTCTGTCCCGTTACTTTTGGTTCCTTAACAAGTGGGAGAAAGTGTAAACACTTTAAAATTAAAGCCGACAGTCTGCAGTTAAAGCACGTATTGTTCATTTCATTTCAAATCCATTGTGTATAGAGCCAAAAATGTTAGAATTGTGTCAATGTCCAAATGTTTTTGGACCTGACTGTATGTTTCTATTGAAATATACAACACAGAGTGAAAATGGCTTTGATTGCGACATCATCTTGCATCCATTTGTTGACTTTGTTGGATGGAGTTGCTGTCGTCAGGCTTACCTCTCTTCAGAGTTTTCTAATAAATGCTAACTCAAACAAGAAAATGGTCTGAGGAAATGAGGCTCATGACTAGTTTCTATGACCAATTTCCTCTAACCTCCTGCTGTGAAACTCCTTCATCTTGACACTTTTGTGGTGAACCACACACAATTGGCATTGATACTGTACATGGCTCACATACTTCATCTTTAATATCCACAGGGAACAGTCCAACACAGATACATAGCATTGATTTGCAGAAGACGTCAGTCTGCATAAGCATACAAACACGGTTGAACTCCACAGTTTGATTTTTAGGTCAGGTTCACTGCGGTATCACATTTCCATCAGACTTGTGTGTGTACACAGCAGTCATAAAGGACAGAGCTGGCCAAGTGGAAAGGAGGTTGTAAAGGACTCTTCTTGTCTGAGTATTTAGACAAAGCTGGAGACACCATCAAAAAGAAAGACTTTTATTTATAGCATGTTTAAACGAGCATGCACGTTCTCACTGGATGCTTTATGACTGTTTACTGCAGAGCAGGCTAAGATCTTAGTAAACCCATTTCAACTGAACTTCAAACCCAAACAGGCATTTACATGATGAGAACTCAGACAGAACTCAACAGACAGACAGTAAGCTGGGTTGCAATAGGTCGAGAGAAGACTTCCAATTTGTAGTTTACTTTCATCATTAATACACACTAGTGTCAACTCAAAGATCTGTTAGCAAATTTAAAGAGACAGTATTGACTTTATTCTTTATGTACAAGCAGGCGCAGTCATTGGAGTCTTATTGGTCCAAGACTTTCAGTCTCATTCACTTCTATTGATTTCTTGACGTTAAAAAACAGCTTGTTATGCTGCTTGATGTTGAAAACTGATATTTTCTTCTTGTGATATTCTACTTTTTAAGTATAGTCATGAACACAAGCAGCAAGTAGCTTGGCTGTTGTTTTGCCATTTATTATGCATAGTAATTTCTCCCCTAGGCAACTGAATCAGAAATCCTAAAAAAAATTGCAAAAATGAGCACACTTGAGCATCGCAGAATATGGTCAATACCCCAAAATAAAAAATTGCTGTTAACTTGCTTATTTTTAGTCCATCCTTGATGAAAGTCAATTTACTTCTTCTTCAGCAGAACATTAAAAACGATTTTTAGCTTAAATCATTAAAATTACATCATCCTTGATGATTGATTTTTAAGAAGTCAATGAATATTGTCACTCATGCAGGCAAAATAAACCTTCAGTCCACCACTCCCACCAATGGTTCTGAGCGCATTCAAGATAGTTTCAAGTATGAGCTTGATGCATTAGGAAGCATGGGTGGATACAAACACACTTATAATCTGATGCTGTTTATTTACAATGGAGAGATGGTGCATGTTATGTAATGCCATCAAAATGTTGCTTAATCTATGAAAATTTTTGTTTGTGTTTTCAGATTAAACGTAATAGTTCTTATCTTAGCCACAGGTATTAATTTTGTCTAGACTGTATATGGTTTGTCAAGCGCTATTAGCCAGTTTCAGCTATAAATCTGTCATAGTAAAGAAAAAAAATAGATCTTAGATGATTTTAGGGTAAATTAAAATTTTTGAATGAAGTTGACAGTCAACTTTATCAAATGAAATGAGTGTAGTTAACTTAAAATTACTGAAATTTATACTGAAATTTACTGAATACTGAAATTTAATTCTACCCATTTGAAAAGAGTTTTGAACCCAGTGTTGAAGGTAATGACTTAATTAAATAACTCAATTACTTCAACTTAAATAGAGTAAGTTCACAGTACTTGCATAGATTAGTTTTCAACTTAAATGGTTTGTAGCAATCGGTTTCCTTAAACGGTTTGAGTTGCCTTAATTTATTGGGTTTTACAGTACTCAAATTGCTTCGATTACTCATTGTAAAAATGGGTTACTTTAAAATGATGTTACTTTACATTGTAAAAATGATTGGAATGGAGAAAATGCTTCTTTAGGCAAAATATCTTTTACCAATATTAGGATTTTAACTACTCACCCTAGAGCTACATGTTTGATGGGTTCCCTCTCGTAAAACACAAGATGTGTTTTAGAGTGTGTCCAGGCACAAAATGCTTAAAACAAAAATGAAAAAAAAAACTTTATATAACCTGTTTACAGTTAATTGTAATTTAAAAGTTAGGGAGTAGTAGGAAATTAATAAAAAATAACAGTTTATTTTTTAAGATTTTTGTTTAAATAAAATGCTAATCATTGAATCTTTTAACAATCTAAGAATAGTTTCTATCAGTCACAGTATTTATAATTATAGTAAAAAATAATGATCAAATAGCAATAATTACCAAGAAAGGAGCATATTAATATGATTCCTAAAGGTTCATGGCACAGTATTGCTGTTTTTTATGTTTTTTTTTATTTTTATTACATGCTTGTTTTGCAAGATTTCTTTATATGTAAACCACTTTTTATTGGACTGTTCTGCTTATGCTTATGCTCAGTTAAAGAGTTATTAAGTACAATTTCGCTAGAGAAAGTTATAGAATTATTAAAATTGTAAAAACTGTTGTAAAAAATGTTTTTTGTTTCCTGATTTTTGTTGTTTTATAATTAGAAATTATTTTAAATAAAATAAAAAAGCTAAAGACTAAAACATACAATACAAAATTACTGGATTAAAAAAAGACAATTTCTGTACTTTTTTTTTACTTTAAGAATGATTCAAAGAAAAATAATTTGAAATATATTAGAAAATAAATTCAGATATGTTGAAAACTATATATGAAAACTGTAATTAATGCAAAATATTAGTGTTAAACCTCTCTAATGACATTTTTGTTTTTACATAATATTTGGACCGGATAAGATTCATTACAACACTTACTCATACAACTATATATATTTAGTGTTGTCTTGATTTGTGCAACTCTTGTTTGTTTAGAATTTCACACCTCATTTTCAAGCACAGTTACAAATCCAGATCCCACTAAAATCAAATCATTTGAATTACATTATAGACTCAGGTGGCCGAGAAGGACAGAGAAGTTTCTGCTCTGAGGGAGAGTCTTGTGGTAGTGACTAAGGAGAAAGAGAGATTGGAAAAGGTAAGAGCAATAACAAGTTCTTTTTTTTAACGAGTTTTTTTTTTCTGCCAATTTGCTATTCAAAGATCCAGAAAGTTACAGTGTCTTCCAAAGCTGATGTTATTAGCTTGATCTGCTAAATGTTAACGAGAATGTTTTAATATTAAATACCTTAATTTGATTCTTAGCAGGTAAGACGCTGAAATCAGGGTGAGCGTGAATGTTTGAGCCCCAAGAGTCACGGCTAAATGCCACATTCGGCTCCCTGATTACCCATCAGCACTTGTGTTAAATGTTAAATGTGCGAATAATTCCTCTAATCATGGCTCACGAATATGGGGTCAAAGGAGAGGGAAAGAAAGAACAAGGAAAAGGGTAAAAAATAAAGGAGAGTTATACACTGTGTCAGTGCTTTTTAAAGACTGGTAATATTTCATCTGTATTACAATAGCACTCAATATTTTTAATGTTTAAATTGGGCATCTCATCTCATTGGGATTCATCATGGGACTTTTGAAGTGTTGCCATTTTTTTAAATCTTGTTTTTGGTTTTTAGTAATAGTGTAATTCTTAAGTGGTTACATTTTTATAATGTAAGTAAAGAATAGTGTTTACCCTCAGCAATGTATGTTGTTAAATTATTTGTGAGCATATGAAATATATTCTTCAAATAACTTTGTTGATCATTTATTTCTTTTGCAGGAGTTGCAGCAGTATATGAGGGAAGGAACAACGAGGAGTCGGAGGTTAGAGGTCAGAGAGCCAGTGGTTCTGCGTTACCCACTGCCATATCCACAAGATCCACCTCCACTCCCACTGGTGCCCCAACAACCTGCTGAACTGCAGTTCGGAAATCCCTATTTAGAACAAGAGACCCGGGGTGAGTACACCCTTCTGTAAGCAGTAAGATGTTGTAATATTTTTAATATTAATTTTCAATTAAATATTTTAAGAAAATAAATAGATGAAGAACTTCTGATTTTTATACAAAAGTATAAACTATTTGCTTTATTAAAATATAAATATGAATAATTATTGATACAAAAATACTGATTCAAAAGTGTTGAGATGCTAATATTTTTGTATAATGTTTAACAATCCTCTAGGCAGTGTTGATTTGATAACAATCATACAGTATAAACAGAAATAGTGTGTTCTATTTTAATTTAATTTATTCCTGAAATGGTAAAGGTTGACGTTTCAACGGTGATAACTAGATTCTTTAGTGTCACATGGTAATTTAGAAATTATTTAGGGAATATGAAACATTTCCTATTATTATTATCATTGTTAAAAACAGTTGTGCTGCTTAATATTTTGTGCAAGCCACAAGATCACAATTCAATTTAGTATTTTTTTTTAAATAAAATATAGCAATGTATAATATGAATGATTTTAAGAGTTCACACTTACAGTAGCTGATGATTGGTTAAAAAGTGTGTTTGGCATGCTGTCCTGGGAGAGAACCCCGAGCTCATAAGATGACCGAGCCCGGGGCTTCCTCCTATTTGCAGGGCAAAAAGGTATTTTGAGCTCTGGTATATCTCAAGAACTCCCCTTCTGTTTGTAACTAATGACCAGTTTGCTATGAAGAGATAACTACCTACTAGAAGCACATCTATGGTGCTCATTTGAATAAGTTGCTTAACTTAAGTAGCATGTTTTTGGATGCTGGGTGGAAACCAGTGGACCTCCGGAACATGTGAACTCCACACAGAAACGTTGTCTGGCTTGGTAAGGACTAAAACCAGTAGCATTCTTACTGTGAGGCAACATTGTTAACCACTGGACTGCTGTGTCGCCCAATCTAGGAAAGGAGGAGGAGTAGGGGTGGAAGGGGGGATTCTTCAAAATAAAGATGACTGTGTTATGGAACTTTTTGGTTATTTATGGTGACTTAAGAATCGTCTGATTGGCTAATGCAGGACCAGCCTTGATATATCAAAAGCATGTGATCCTCTGGAAATTAGTTTATAAAAAAAACTTCACTTATCAGTGATTACTATTTTTCTAAATTTATATAATATAAATTCATGATATTTTGACAAATGTGAACTATTATTCAGTGAGCTAGTAAGTTCCCCAAAAAGCATCCATTGTTTTGATGTTACAGTTAAAAAGATTATTGCAACTTTTTGAGCTAAATTACATGTAAAAAAAAATGGGTAACATTTTAGAATATCTATCCGTTATAACTAGTTAATAGTCCATTATTAAACTGTTAGTTAATGAGTTCTAAAAGACTTGTTAAATAAAAGTTCATGGTTTGTTATAATTATTTATAACTGTGCCTTATAGATAGCCAACAGATAATGTACAAGCTGTTAGTTAACCAGTTCTAAACAACTTGTTACTGTATTTTAAGGATTCTAGTAACTTACTTACGAAAGACTTGTTAATTATCGGTTAATAGTTTATATTTGTTTTTTGGACGTAATTCTAAAGTTGCAACTATTCTTCTTTTATTAAGTATTAGTAAATGAGGAATAGTTGCAACTTTAGAATACCGTCCCAATAACATACTTAAGCTAATGACTAACACTTAACTAATATATTAACTCACTTTACAGATCAGTTGTTCATAGTTTATTAACTATCGACTAACACCAGTGAAACTGTGTAGAACACTAAATGGATGGAACAAGTTCAAGCTACATAAATTTGATGTGATATTTAAAATATAATTATTTTTACCTTAACCTTGTTCCACTCATAAGCTTTTCTGTGTGCTGTATTTTACCAAAGAAACTCCACAGATGAAATGTTGAACATTGTGTTTAATGTATAGAAACACACATACTGAGCCATCGCATGGCAGAACAGCAGTATACAACAGAATACAAACCCATGAGGTTTGGGCACTTTTTGTGCTAAACATGAAAACAAACTGGTGTTATTAGATTGTAAACAAACTATGAACAACTGATCTGTAAAGTGTGAGTTAATATGTTAGTTAAGTGTTAGTCATTAGCTTAAGTATGTTATTGGGATGTTATTCTAAAGTTGCAACTATTCCTCATTTACTAACACTTAATAAAAGAAGAATAGTTGCAACTTTAGAATAACGTCCCAATAACATTTATAAACTATTAACTGATACTTAACAAGTCTTTCTTGAGTAATTTACTAACAGCTTGTTCATGATCTATTATTAATTTATAAGGTATAAATCCTTAAATACAGTAACAAGTTGTTTAGAATTTGCTAACTAACAGCTTGTACGTTATCTGTTGGCTATCTATAAGGCACAGTTATAAATAATTAACAAACTATTAACCTTTATTTAGCAAGTCATTTAAAACTCATTAACAGTTTATTAACTATTAACTAGTATAAACGGAGTTATTCTAAAGTGTTACCGAAAAATGTATTGAAAAGCAATTATTCATCACACTATAGCAGTGTGTATGAATTTAAAATACCATATTATTTTGGTTTTGCTGTCATTTTAGAATTCTTACATGAGCAAATAAACTGTATTTAAAATGTCTTCACTTGTCGTTCCTCAGATGGAGCAGATGGGGCATTATCCCCAGAACAAACCTGTCGCCCCCCTCCCCTAGCTCCTCCACCGTGGGGTGGTCCTGTGGTCTGCAGCCAACCATCACGAAGCCTCAGCCCACCTGATGGCCTAGAGAATCCTACTGAAGAACGGCCTACTGTAAGGACACATACACTGATCAATAGAGCTGTGGAAATATTTTAAAAGCTTTTATTGTGTATTTTCTATTGGGAGCTACATGGACGTATAGACAAAGAGAAAATAGACTTGGTCTGTTTTAATATGACACATATTATAAAAGCTGGTGCTTTTCTGTAGTGTATTGTTTAGACATGCTGTCTGATGTCAAAATGACATCAACAGCAGAAATGTGTTTTACTTTTCTTTAATGCTATTGAACAGTTTAGGTACTATTTGTTCCTTTCCAAATTGACACTTTATGAACAAACCTTTTGAAAAGTGGCAACTTTATTACTGAAAGTATGCTATACATACACTCACCAACTACTTTATTAGGCACACATGTCCAACTACTCATTAACTCAAATTTCTAATCAGCCAATCACATGACAGCAACTCAATGCATTTAGGCATATAGACATGGTCAAGATGATCTGTTGCAGTTCAAACTGAGCATCAAAATAGGGAAGAAAGGGGATTTAAGTGACTTTGGCCATGGCATAGTTGTTGGTGCCAGACGAGCTGGTCTGAGTATTTGAGAAACTGCTTGGATTTTCACGCACAACCATCTCTAGGGTTTACAGAGTATGATCAAAAAAAGAAAAAAAAATTCAGTGAGCGGCAATTATGTGGGCGCAAATGTCTTGTTGATGCCAAAGGTCAGAGGTGAATGGCTAAACTGTTTCAATCTTATAGAAAGACAACAGTGACTCAAAAGCAGAAGATCATCTCTGAAAGCTCAACACATTGAGCAGCAGGCTACAGCAGCAGAAGACCACACCTGGTGCCACTCCTGCCAGCTAAGAACAGGAAACTATGGCTACAATTCACACGGGCTCACCAAAATTAGACATTAGAAGATTGGAAAAACGTTGCCTGCAATGATTAGTCATATTTCTGCTACGACATCCAGATGGTAGGGTCAGTAACAACATCAAAGCATGGATCCATCCTGCCTTGTATCAACGTTTCAGGCTGATGGTGGTGGTGTAATGGTGTGGGGATATTTTCTGCCCAGTAATACCAATTGAGCATTGTGTCAACACCACGGCCTACCTGAGTATTGTTGCTGATTATGCTCATCCCTTTGTAACCACAGTGTACTCAACTTCTTCCAGCAGAAAAATGCGCCATGTCATAAAGCGCAAATAGTTTCTTGAACATGACAACGAGTTCACAGTACTCAAATGGCCTCCACAGTCACCCGGTTTCAATCCAATAATGCATGGATGTGGTGGAACGGGAGATTCGCATCATAGATGTGCAGCCGACAAATCTTCAGCAACTGTGTGATGCTGTCATGTCAATATGGACCAAAAATCCGAGGAATATTTCCAGTACCTTGTTGAATCTATGCCACAAAGGATTAAGGCAGTTCTGAAGGCAAAAGTGGTCCAACCTGATACTAGTAAGGTGTACCTAATAAAGTGGCCGGTGAGTGTATATCCTTAAGCATTCAAAATTATTCAAATCAATATTATGTTCATTCACAGAGTCTTTTTATTCTGCAAATGAAACAAACTATAATTTTTTTTAAATAAAATACATAGTATTCTTTGTGATCATAGTATGTTTTTACAGTTTAGGGTAGTGTTATCTGTTTTATTTATTCATGAATAGAGTGTGTTTTCCCCTAAATAATCATGTCATTAATTATCATCTAAATAGTGCACTTATTTTTTCACACATTGTTCTGGGTTCTTTTTTTAAACATTTATTTGATTTGCAAACATAAACATTTTCTCATATCTGGGTGTTACTGTGTGTTATAAAACTGATATGTGACAATGTTTGTCACATCATTTATGAGCAACCTTCTCTTCTTCCTTTCTCTCAGCCTTTCTTTCTGTTCTTCGTCTTAACTTCCACCTTGTCACCCTTTGATTCAAACTCCTTGATTCACACTTACTCTTTTTCTTTTTTCACTCTTCTCTTCCTTGCTGCCCTCTGCTTTCCTCCCCCCCTTAGACCTCAGTTCACAGGTGAATACAGAGGTGGTTGATTTGCATAAAACGGCAATTAAAGCTTTTCTCTTTTGAGCTCGTTAGTGGATTAGAGTGACGAGGCTAGAGGCTCGTTAGAGAGAGATGTTGACGAGGGCTATGCTAATTGGCTGGGGTTGCCGGCCTGTGATATTTGAGGGTGCAGATCAGCGCTGACCCCTTTCTCCTCCTTTCTCGTTTGCTGCGTTAAAAGCCCATTAACCTTTGCTGGAAGCCGGCTGTGTGCAGACAGGCGTGGCTTTTCGTCGGAAGTGTGGGTGTGTGTGTGTGTGTGTGTGTGTGTGTGTGTGTGTGTGTGTGTGTGTGTGTGTGTGTGCGTGTCTGTGTGAGATCTTAGCTAGTATGTCTCAATAGAGAGGTGACAGCTAAATGTTTCCTCTTAAGAAAATTGTATTGTTATGTCTCGGTCAAGAATAAATGATGTATAGCTTTTATTTAGGTTTTTATGTCTTTCTTAGGGAGGTGATGGTGAGGCCCCTGCTGTCTGTGAACATCAGAGCCTGGAATCTAATGAGAGCCACACCAGCTTTTGCTTTGACACCAGGTAAGTGTTTGTAATTCAGTTCTAGCATGCAACTCATACTTTTGCGCATTGCTGTATGCATGCTGTGCATCATTGTAGGCAAATGCCTAAAAGGGCCATACCTTCCAAAATCATTTCTTGCAGAGAAGAACTTTTTCCCACAGTACAGGGCTGTGGGCTTCACTGTACATTTCCAAAGTAATAAATGACTACAATGGGGTACAGTGCATCCAGAAAGTATTCATAGCGCTTCACTTTTTACACATTTTTTTTATGTTACAGCTTTATTCCAAAATAGATTAAATTCATTTATTGCCTCAAAATTCTACACACAATGCCCCATAATGACAATGTGAAATGACATTTTTTTAAATTGTTGCAAATTTGTTAAAAATAAAAAACCTGAAAAATCATGTGTACATAAGTATTCACAGCCTTTGATGTGAAGCCCTAAATTGAGCTCAGGTACATTCTCTTTCCACTGATCATTCTTGAGATGTTTCAGCAGCTTAATTGAAGTTCACCTGTGGTAAATTCAGTTGATTGGACATGATTTGAAAAGGTATACACCTGTCTATATAAGGTCCCAGGGTTGACAGCGCAAAACCAAGCATGAAGACAAAGAAATTGTCAGTAGACCTCAGAGACAGGAGTGTCTCAAGGCACAAGGCTGGGGAAGGTTACCGAAATTTTTTTGCTGCTCTGAAAGTTCCAATGAGCACAGTGGCCTGCATCATTCGTAAGTGAAAGATGTTTTGAACCACCAGTACTGTTCCTAGTGCTGGCTGGCTATCTAAGCTGAGTGCTCGGGGGAGAAGGGCCTTAGTCAGGGAGGTGATCAATAACCTGATAGTCACTTTGTCTAAGCTCCAGCGTTCTTCTGTGGAGAGAGGAGAATCTTAGAGAAGACAACCATCTGTGCAGCAATCCACCAATTGGGCCTGTATGGTAGAATGGCCAGACGGAAACCACTCCCTGCCTGAAATTTGCCAAAAGGCATCTGAAGGACTCGCAGACCATAAGAAACAAAATTCTCTGGTCTGATGAGACTAAAATTGAACTCTTTGGAGTGAATGCCAGGTGTTACGTTTGGAGAAAACCAGGTACCTTTAATCACCAGGCTAATACCATCCCTACAGTGAAGCATGGTGGTGGCAGCATCTTGCTGTGTGGATGTTTTTCAGCAGCAGGAAGTGAACGACTAGTCAGGATAGAGGGAAAGATGAATGCAGCAATGTACAGAGACTTCCTGAATGAAAACCTGCTTCAGAGTGATCTTGACCTCAGACTGGGGCGACGGTTCATCTTCCAGCTGGTAAATGACCCAAAGCACACCATCAAAATATCTATGGAGTGGCTTCACAACAACTCAGTGAATGTCTTTGAGTGGCCCAGCCAGAGCCCAGACCTAAATCCTATTAAACATCTCTGGAGAGATCTGAAAATGGCTGTACACTGTCCCTTCTCATCCAACCCAATTAAGCTTGAGAGGTACTGCAAAGAGGAATGGGCGAAAATTCCCAGAAACAGGTGTGCCAAGCTTGTGGCCTCATATTCAAAACGACTTGAGACTGTAATTGCTGCCAAAGGAACATCAACAAAGTATTGGGCAAAGGCTGTGAATACTTATGTACATATGATTTTTTCAGGTTTTTTTATTTTTAATAAATTTGCAACAATTTCCAAAAATCTTTTTTCACATTGTCATTATGGGGCATTGTGTGTAGAATTTTGAGGAAATAAATGAATTTAATCCATTTTGGTATAAGACTGTAACGTAAAAAAATGTGGAAAAAGTGAAGCGCTATAAATACTTTCCGGATTCACTGTATATGCACATAGACTATTAATTTCAGTCAGCCAGCCCTAGGGCTTCCGGTGAACTGTCATCCCATACTAAATCACTGCATTTAAGATCTGATTTCTTGAAAAAACAGCTTCACTACTTGGCTGCGATATAAAGTGGGACTCAGACCAAACAAGAAACACTGCATTAAATAATATTTTTCCACCCATGTCTTTAAAATATGAAATTTTATTTAACCTCAGTATTTTCATTGGAGATTTTGAGCTAGCTTGTTGCTAATGATGGAGCTTTTCGTCTTTTTTATTCTTTAACAACTGAATGGATGCGTGAGTCTATTCAACTGATTATATTTGAATTACATTACTACATCGATGCTGTAAAAGAAACCTTATGAAATTGAAAATATTCACATAAAGCTTTCACTGGAAGTTCATTGGCTGAAAAACACTAGCTGTACATAAAGTTCATTAATATCAGTCTGTATTTTATTTTATTTCAACATTAATTAAAATATTTTTACCCAAAAAGTTACAAAAAAAGTTACAAACTTAAATGTGATTAATAAGTCCTGCAGTTCGGCGAGATTTGATATTTAGATGTGCTATAAACGAAAATATTAGATCGTTAACACTACAGTATACACTGCATACTGTGTATACTGCAAAAAAGTTGTTTAAAGAAATTTCACCACAACCACCTTCTCAACATTCTCCCTCTCTTTTCAAATAGGATGGTGGGCCAAATCAAAGGTTAACACAGGCCAACTTTGGCCAGCTGGCTCTACTTTGGGCATCTCTGCTCTAAACCATTTCTCAAAGATTTTGCTGCTTGGACATAACTGTGATCAGCAATTGATGCAATGCACCAGGAATCATGGTTTCCACTTTCTTCCAATTTTCCTTGGTCCAAAATCCATTTTCTTTGACCCATTTCATGTGTGGTTAGTAATGATGTGCAGTTAGTATGGGTTCCCGATCAGGTCGCTGGCTACACAGGCTCATACACAGAAGGATGTGAACTGTTTGCTGTGACACATTGTCTTGTTTACCACTGTTGTAGCATCTAGTGATTTGTTGCGCTGTCCCTGTGGTCGCTTTGAACGATGTGCGACAGTCTCTGCTCCCCTCTGGCATTGCTATTGATGACTTGGTGTATAGTGTATAGGTGCCTTAGGAGTCATTCTTTACCCTAGGTCTGGAAGTGCTGTCCACTGCTTTGTGATGCACTGTGATACCCATACACTTTAAGCTGTAGAAGGGGGCAGCCACTGTTATAAACTCTCTTGCAGAAAAATAACTGCATCACTGATTTGGGCATCTCCAGGGTCGTTTTGATGCAAAAAGCACTACTCACGCCCCATTCACACGGGGCGTCAGCTTCAAAGCTTCTCATTGACTTTGAATAGGTGACGTCAGTTGTTGCTGAACTTGGGACTTCTCAACTTTTCAGGCGGAACGGAAGCATCAGCCAGTCAGATCGCTGTATGCAAATACACCAGCTCAGACAGTGGCCTTTTGCTGACTAATTTCATTGGCTGATGCTGCTATGACGATTGTGTCAGCCCCAACTTCAGACAGACCCTCTGTCAAGCATTGACGCTTAAGCCCAGTGCGAATGGGGAGTTAGTGAAAAGACTTGACTTCAAGGCATAACTTTGCAGAAGGAGTTCTGGCTTTGAGTTCTGACACTATATACCACTTTTCTCAGTTGACTCAAAGCCTCAACTGGCAGAGATACAGAGTGGCTGAGTGGTCCCTGTTCTTGTGCATCTGATCTCAAGAGTCTGCTCGATTGCTCTACTCAAGAGAGATGTCCAGATGTTACCTCCCACAACAGTGCAGGGGCACACTTTGAGACTTTGGCCTTTTAGGCATACTGAAATGGCCAGTCCTCAAAAGATAACATTAAAAAACAAATCTATATTAAAACCATAATGTTGAAGTACAAATGCTTCTGGTTAATTGCTGCAAAGCAATCTTTGGGGGGAATGCATTTGGATTTGGTTTTGCATCAACATCTTGAATGGGAGCTTGTGCAGGGCCTGATTTAAGACTTGGAGATACAAGAACAACCAGTTGCCTTTCAGGGGTATAATGAAATGCTGTAAAATGCTTCATCTCGGCAGGAGATATAAGCTTGACTTTTTAAGCTTTAATCATATTAATTAAGTTATGAGAAAAAGGATAATGAGAAATGGATAAAAGTTGATCCTTGCTGAGATGGATTTGAAGACAGAAATCCGAAAATCCATCACCAGTTTTCATTTCTTTAAAATATTATTAAATATCTCAGAATTGTTGTTTCTATTTCCAAAGTGATGGTTTTTATTAATGTTATTGTATGTGAATGCCTAAACTTGGAATGTTTAGTATACAAACTGAATTAAAATGCTATTTTTATGTGAGATCATAACAAACATAGTGACAAAATGTGGCACAGTACATGTGGCAAAATGTTTACCCTGTCATAGTCATGTCAAGTACATTTATATTTTAAGGGTCCATATTGGTACCTCAAAATATATATTAGTACCTACATTTTAGATACTAACATGTACCCTTGAGGTATTAATGGGGAGTTTTTAGAGCACAAATATGTACCTTTTGAAAAGGTACCAACACAGTGAAAGCTCTCGTACCTTTATTTTTGAGTGCAGTAGTTGTAGATTAAAGATCTCTCTTTCTTTCTCTCTCTCTCTCTCTCTTTCTTCCACTCAGACCTGACGTTCATAAGCAATGCCCCTTATGTGAGGTGATCTTTCCACCACACTTTGAGCAAAGCAGTTTTGAGCGACATGTGGAGTCTCACTGGAGAGTGTGTCCTGTCTGCAGCGAGCAGTTTCCTCTGGATTGCCAGCAACAACTCTATGAAAAGCATGTGCACACTCACTTTGATGGCAATGTTCTCAACTTCGACAACTTTGATTAGTGAGAAAGAAATGCTTTTAATATGACATATTCAGGGGCTTCAGCGTTTTGTTTAAAACACGCTAATGTTGTCACTTTGTTGTAACTGTCGCACAACTCATGCCAGAAGGACTCGCCATCTGAATATTTGATTTGCACATAGATGATGAATTAGAAGGGTTAGTTCCCCAATCAAAAAAGGAAAATGTTCAACCTATGTCATTTGAAACCAGTTCAACCTTTATTGATCTTCAGAACACAGACGAAGATATTAAGGAAATGTCACTCAATTGAAGGTCAAATCACCTAAAATTCAAGAAACTTTAAAACATTTACAAAGATCACACAAGATAAATCTGTGAATCATGTGGTTTGATCAAGGTCTTCAGGAGAGGTTTAATTTTGGCCGTTATTTACATATTAAAGATGCTGTATATATGTTTTTGACTTTTCTAAACCATAAAAATACCATAATATGTTTGCAGATATTTAGGAAACATGCCGAATAAACATACTTGTTTATCTGAAGTCAGATATTCCGCTTTGAAAGTGTGTTTTCTGTGCCATAACGTCTGTCTTTGTTTTGGGTAATTTGAACCTGCCCAATGCCACTTTAGCCACATATATTTCAGCAGTCTGGGTTGCCTTGTTGGAAAACCGCAAATTTCATTCATTCATTCAGAAAGACTCTGAAAGCATGTGTCCGTGATCTAAATACAACCTCCGGTGGACAGTAGCAGACTCCAAAATGAGACCAATTACATGAGGTTAATTAGCAAATTATACATATATTATGAGCGTAAACATTAAGTGAGCAGGTTACATTATACTAACAACTTGTGTCCTAACAACTTGCTTTGTGACAAGATGAGCAGTGATAAGCAATTTGGTGACATGACAGAAACATGACAGAAATTTAAACCCAGCCATTTAGAAGCACCGAATATGCACTTACTCACGAAATAGTAAGATTTATAATTATTACCCCTCTAAAACAGTATTAAATGTACATGCCGAATCACTTATATGTATTTGGTTCTAAAGTTCAATTTCAAATTTTAATTTCAAGATCTAAGGTGATCTGCTGCTACTTTTAAGCATATGGCAATAAATGTCATGCAAAATGGCATTCAAACTTGCATTGCTAGTATTTTACACTGAATAAAACACATGAGGTGTACCTGAGGTGATCATTTTTTCTGTTGTTTAGCTGCAAGAAATAGAAACCGTTTCTAATATATAAATTCGAGGTGTTGGTAAGGACAAAAACTCCTTTTATGTGGAGAATATTCCTTTTATCGGGTGCCGTTGCTTTCATTTACAACACAATTTAAATCACTCGCTCCTGTCCTCAATCTGGCAAACTGTGCCTGCGTTTATTTTAATCCAGGAGGGCAATACCTAGTTCAACCACTGATGTGAACCACTAAATCCACCTAATGATGTTCACTAAATTCATATTATTGTTTGATTTCCTTCGCATTTTAAGAGTCTGAGTTTTGGGTGAATAGACTTTCAATAGAGGCACAAAAAATGCCTTCTGAAGATGAACAATTTTCTCTTGGGTTTGGAATTACTCACTGGTTAGTAAGTGAAGTATGGCAGAATATATATTTTTTGGTTGGATATAACTCTTCAATTCAGATATTTAAACATCAAATGGACAGAATACTATATCAACAGTCTTCAGGTGTAATAGATATGTAAAAAAAAAAAAAAAATGAAAAGCACTTTTGAAATGTAAATTTTGTGTACTACTGAAAAACAGATTATGCTTTAAACGAAGAGAAAAGAGCTTTAAGTTGTTGTTGATGAATATAAAGATTTTATTTATAGGACCAATGATGTATTCATGTATTTATAGAAGAAGATGGCCATGATTAACTCAAATTACTACAATTGACTACATGTATTACCTCAGAAGCAATGAAGCCTTTTCAGTGTGAAAAGCCCAGACGGTGATACACTCATTTGATCTGTAAACTCTCATACTAAATCAACTTCATGTTGTTCTAAAATTGTTTGACATTCTTGTGTTAAACAAAATTGGGCTGTGCTTTTGAATAGGAGCTTTTACGATTTTTTAAATGTGCAGCATAAAAGGTGTAGGTTGAGGCAAAGAAATGTATTGGATTTGTAAATGAACTTGGGAAAACTTGGGAAAAGGCTTGAAAACTACAGGTTTCCTCAAAATAATACAGTGACCTTTTAAATTTCCCAATCCACATGATAAAGATGACAAAACTGTTGTTTTAGTTGAACTTAAGTAAAGAGAGAGTCTTTACTAAAACTACGGCAATGCGCAACAACCTTTCAGTGCATCATTGGATCAGGCATCTTGCAGAAAAAAACAACAACAACTAAACATAAGAAATGGTTATTAGTTTCAGCATTATATCATTGCACATTCTATGCTTGAAATCCATTTATCCAACACAGCTAATGTATCACACTGCAAGTGTGCCAGAAAGTTTAATTTAGGGTTGCTCTGTGTTTGTGTATCAAGTGATTAATTATTAATAAAGAATGCTAAGGCTTGAGGTCTCTCAATTGCCCTTGTATTTGTAAGTCATCAGGCATCAATTGACACTCTATGGACAATAAAATGTAAACTTGCACCACCCTTGTTTGATTTTCTTTATTTTTGTACCATTGTCCTAAATGTTACACTTGAGGATAAAGATGTCTCAAAAGTCTCCCATTCTCTCACACAAACACGCACACATTTTACATTGTCTCACATACAAATTGCTTCGGTTCCACAAAACATTTTCCACAAAAAAAAAACATACAGTACGAAAATATAATTTCAAAAGCACTTTACAAAACTTGCAATACGATACATTCACTATATAGTATATCAAACTCCCTCCAAAATAAATGCATCTCAGTCACATTACTACATTGTAGGTGTGAGGAATCCCACCAATCCTATCCAACCAAATCATGTTTAACGGGTTCTACTTTGCGTCAAAGCTGAGACCAAATGACTCCATTGCCAAAAAGAGGTACAAATGTGGTTACTGGTACTGCGTCCAAAAATACACACATACATACAAACTGACATGACACCAGAGGAATTGGAAAAAAAACAGGACAGTGAGTCATCTACAATGAGTCACTCGCGGATAGGCATCCAATACTTCATTCCCTAACTCCAGTATTTGGCATCTACATAACAGTTACTATTCATTCATCTTTAAAGGGTTAGTTCACCGTTTATCTTTGGAACACAGATAAAGATGTTTCGAAACAAATCTGCTATGTGAAATCTGTTCATCGTACAGTAAAATGACCAACCGGTTGATTCATAATATTCATTCATGCAGTCATTTTCTTTTAGGCTTAGTTTCTGTATTAACCTGGGGTCATCACAGCGGAATGAACCGCCTTTTCATAATATTATTTAAAGTTAATTCATCGAACAGACTTCAGGGAAAGAAATCAGATTTAGCTGAAATACCTTCATTTGTGTTCTGAAGAGGACATGATGGTGAGTAACACACCAAAAAAAAAAAAAAAAAAACCTTCAGCTTCTTTTCTCACTAAGAAATCATAGTGACGGTCCACAACATTAGTGTTTAAATACAGATTCTGGCCTAAATATGAGGACAATATTAAAACTTTGTCCATATCGCTAATTACTGTGTACCGTCTTAGCACCACAAATTAGTATTACCATGGTTTAGAACATGTACCATGGTAACATAATCTGACACTATCACTTTACCATGTACAGCACCTTTATTCCATGCTTCAAATCTGGAGATCTGGCAGTGCCATTTTTGGTCCATGTTGTTTCATTTGACCAACCCTAACCAAGAAAAACAGACTAATGGATAGGAAAGCTTACTTGGTCCTTCTCTGCACCAAAAGTTTAAGCTCTTAGCAGTTGCTAAAGACATTTTACTCATGTAAACCATGGTATCCCTGCTAAAAAATCCAGCTTAAACCAGCAAAAGCTGGTTGGCTGGTTTTAGCAGGAGGACCACCCTGGTTTTAGAGGGGTTTAGGCTAATTCCATGCTGGTTTCCAGCTATTTCCAGCCTGGTCTTAGCTTAGCAGCTAAAACCAACCTCACAGCCTGGTTAAAGATGAACATAGCTGGTTTTGGCTGGTCAAGCTGGTCTTAGCTGGTCATCTCCCAGCTAAGACCAGGCTGGAAATGGCTGAAAACCATCCTGGAAAAGGCCAAAACCCCTCTAAAACTAGGCTGGTCGACCAGCTAAAACCAGCCAACCATCCTAAGTTGGTTTAAGCAGGATTTTTCAGCAGAGATGTTTTTTTTTTGGCTGACGACTGGACAGAGAATTAAAGTTGAGAAAATATATTCAGATGTAGGTATGCATTTGGCACTATAATACTAGGGGTAACATCATAAAATAAGATTGAATACTTCTGACAACAAAGATTGTAACGGTAAGACTACAAGCCAAAAGACAGCAGAGCAGCTAAGCAGTCGTGTCATGCTAGCAAGCTGTAGCCTACAATACAAGGCAAGCAGAGGGCTAACAAATACGTTTACACAAACACAGCCACAAGGACAAACGTGTCCCAAATGTGTCGAAAATAAAAAATAAACAACAGCGATGACTGAATTAAGGATCTTATGAGCAAAAACGCACAACAAAATACTGCAAGGCTGAGTACACAAACAGAAGTTTAGGTCCTCTTTAAGGCTCCTCCGTTAACAGGCACTAAACGGATAGCCAGATGTGACCCGTTGTGTGTTTGGCAGATCATCCATGTTTCTTTGTTGGGGACGAATATCTTGGCACTTCTGCACTGCTGGCATAACAGCAGGGAAACAGGACAGAGTGAATCTGACCTTCTCTGTCTCTCTTTAGGCTGACATAGTTTGAATGCTTCAACAAAAATTGGTTCTATTCAGAGATCATTGTGTAGTGTTACTCCGATACAACTAGACGCATGAGACAAAAACCATGTCCACGTCACAAAACCACTTTCAGTCGTCTGGAAAATGCCACATGCAGAGAATTCCGCTTTTTCACAGGTGCTGCCAGCATGCCAGCCGCATGCAAAACAAAATGCGGAAAGGTGAGTTTACGCTGCATAATGTCAGCCAATCTGATTTACGCATGTGGAATGTTCTGGAGCGAAGTTAGTGGAAGTGTGTTTTTCCTGTTTCCTGGTTTGTCTGAAAGTTGGCAGCTGAATTGTGACCTGAGATCAATGTCTTCTCAATTCAGACAATAAAAGACTGATTCTTTACAAAGCAAATAAAAAACAAAAAGAGAAATGGTCCTTAAAGATGAGATAAAGTTCTCGTATAAAACATAATTTAAATGTTCTGCAAAATATATAATGGAAAATAAAATGTTTGGATAATAAACTTAGCTAATAATATATATATATATATATATTTATAAATGTGTCTTCATATAATTTGTATATGTACATGTTTATCTACTGTACACTGCAAAAAATGCTTTTTTTTACTTACATCCTGTCTTGGTTCTAGTCCAAATATCTAAAAATTCTTATTTCAAGAAGCATTTTCTAGACAAGCAAAACATAGGCTCAATCCCTATTCTACCCGTTAGCCCTTCAACTTACCCTTTGTTTCACTCGTTCCAGTGAAGGGGTAGGGTGTCCCTATTCTCTTTAGCTTGAAGGCTTAGGGATAATGGGAAGGTGTAGATAGTCATTCAAACTGAGATTTTTCAGGATCACACTCGAAACCAATGGCTAAGAAATTTTCCCAGACTACACCAGCTACAACGGCTGCATAGCTGCACCCGGAAGTAAGGAGATCCACAAATTAGTGTTTGTTTTTTTTTGTCATTATTACGAATTTTTACAACAAACAAGCACGTTTTAATATATTCATAACCAAGTTTGTTTTACCGTCATGCCTTTAAAAAAACGCTAAAATAAAAAATGCTAAATTTTGCTATCTAGAATAATAACTATTATCTAGAATAATAACTCTTGGATAGCAGTCTGTATAGTATAATAGTACTCTGTCACTTGATGACACTAATAACCTGTCAGAAAAGTCTAGTGGCTGAGAATGAGCTTTTTAGAGTGTCTACTATAATGTTAATGTTGTTTTTTTGTGTTTACATACATGAATATGGCCACTGTGTAAATGCACAGTATTATGATCTTATTGTCACATTAGATCGTTATGATAACATAATATATGCCTTCAGTCATTTCCTGAAGATAAATACAAAAAAAAAACAACTAATAACTACAGCAGTCACAATCGTCTGATCTCAAATGAAACAAGAGATCACGATGATGTATGATGACGTGTGCAGGTGCTGCAGTGCTGTCCCATTTCATAGGGGTAAATGAAGGGGATGGGGTAGGGGTACAATAATATAATTGGCATTGGGACATAATTTCCTGTTTTCAGAAATAATATGCCAATATTGAGTCAGTTTTGCTTAAAACAAGCAAAATAATCTGCCAATGGGGTAAGCAAAATGATCTTGTTTTTCCTTTTGACATAAGATTATTTTTACAACCCCATTGGCAGATTGTTTTGCTTCTTTCAGGGAAAAAGCACTTCATTTTGGCATATTATTTCTTAAAACAAGACATTATGTTTTACTTGTCCAGAATATTCTTCTTGATTCAATAATTTTCAATTATTTGGACGAGGAACAAAACAAAAAATCTAAGTAAGAAAAACTTTTTTGCAGTGTAGTTTTCACTTGACGTAGATCTGCGAGCAAAGAGAATCTCTCCTCTGATTTTAAATCCTTTTGTCTTTAAAATCAGAAACGAATGCTTATGACATGTCCTTATCTTCAGCACAGTAATTTTCATTTATCAGTGACTGTGTCACTTTAAAATAAAATAAAATAAAATAAAATAAAGGATATATTAAAAAGAAATGATATACATGAAATGTGCAAATGTACAAGTATACCGACATATATAAAAGCACACACATCAAGGAAAATCAGCATTTGATCCCAGTTTACACGTGATCCTGAAATGTAAATGTAAGGATGATCAGGTAAACGTGAAAATAACTTTGTGTGTGTGTGTAGGTTTATCACAGGGGTGGGTGAAAGTTGATGGTGTGATGTCTAAGGCCTTGAGAGGTTTTATAGCTTTTCCCACAGCGACACTTGAAGGGCTTTCTCACACGGATCTGCGTCCTGTGGCCGTTTTTAGCATGGTACTTAATACCGTTCACATTCTGGAAAAAAGAGAAACATGAAAAACAAGAATGAGACAAAGCCTTTCCAGGATAAAAGAATTATTTGCGCAATAGTCTGCAGCATCCCAACCCTCACTTAGACAGTCTGAATAATATTTAATGTGAACAACTAAACTGATTTTTGTAGCTGTATTTATACTGAATGTGCTATTTGTTATGGCTAAAGAAACACGATGAGAAGCAACACAATTGTAACATTATATAGTTTTTCTTCTCTTCAAGCCATCTAGAGGCATGAGGTCGTTTTCATCAAGTGTTATATTTTGACTAACATTTTAAAAGTGTATTTGTTCTTTGTTTATGCGATTGTTTGATTCATTTACTATAAAACTTCAGACACAATTTGTAATAAATTTCCATATTTTTTGTAAAATATTGTGAATTCTTGATGATGGTGTAGTGAAAAGACACTCAAATGTTTGCTTTATTAAAGTTATGTGCTTCTATGTGAGTGCAGTACCTTGTATCTCTTCTTACATCCTGGAACAGGGCATGCGAAGGGTTTCTCGTCGCCTCCATTCATGCACATGGAGCTGAGGATGGACTCTGAGCTGATGGCACTTTCTGTGGTCCAGGACTCGTCACTGTCAGAGTCTTCGTACTCCACCTCCTCCTCATCACACTCGCTGCCTGAGGCACAGCAATAAAGTTAAACTCTTTAATTAGTCGTTTATTTGCTTCATATATTAGCTGATGAAAGAGCTAATGAGAACTGAGAAAGTAAACGTGCCCTTTGCTCCAGTTATCCAATGTTTCTTCATTAGAGACCTAATGTGGTTTTTTTCCTCTTTTTTTTGCCACAGTTCAGTTCAGTCTTTATATTTCTGAAAGAACCCAGATTCATTTGGTAATATTCACCTGAAACAACTGGCTGTCTACTGTTAAGCACGTTTCTCACTCTTGCCTTGTCTCTTAACATAGATCAATGGCAGGCTTATTGAAATGTCAAGTCAAAGACATGCACAGTATTAAATAAACAGGAAGTGGAACAGATATGCTGCAGAAAGTGTGGACAACACTCAACCAATGGAAACTTTAGAGGACACACACATTTAGTTACCACAGCTTCAGCTTTAGATGGAACTAACTCTCTCTCTGACAGCTAATGAAGAAAGTCAGTTTAGGACTAAATAATTACAAATTAAAAGATAGGAAATCAGCAGCCGTTAAATTTACCTCAAGTACTACAAACAATCTTAATGAGTTAGATAAGTAAGAAATAATTGCCATTGTGCCATGGAATTATTGTAAAATAATGGCGGTGATACCGAGGTTACTAAACAAAGCGGAATGACCATTAGACTATCGTGGGGCATTTTTATTTATTTTATTTTTATTTATCAGGAGTTGCCACAGTGGAACAAATTGCCAACTTATCCAGCATATGTTCTACACAGTGGATGCCCTTCTAGCTGCAAACTAGTACTGGGAAACATTCATACACACTTATTCACACATATACACTCAACTGGAGCACACTGAGGAAACCCACACAACAAGGGGAGAAGATGCAAACTCCACACAGAAATGCCAACTGACCCAGCTGGTACTTGAACCAGTGACCTTCTTGCTGTAATGTGATAGTGCTAACCACTGAGCCACTGTGTCGCCATCATGGGCATTCTTTTTTTAACGATTCAAGTGAGCAATTTTGATCTATTATTTCACTTACATTTCAATTACCACACATGAAGACATTGTTCAAATCATGCTTTTAGGATTCCTGCACATCCCATCTAAAAGCTTTTTTTTTAATATATATATATATATATATATATATATATATATATATATATATATATATATATATATATATATATATATATATATATTTCTGACTGTTGTAGGCTATGCAATTAGAACTAGAAATGCGTAGAACTGAATATTCTGTTTTAGGAGTGCTTAATTTGAGCCAGATCTTGTTCCGGAAAATGTCCGATATTCGTGTTTGGCGTTCCGGTATTTATTTTAGTGGATCTGCCATTAACTGGTGTGCAGTGAATACCTACACGTGTTTATGTGTGTGTGTGAGAGAGAGAGACTCTCGATGGTGGTCACCATGTGCAAGTTAAAACAAAACTATTGGCGCTCAACAATATTTTCAGCTTTCCTATGTTTACAATCACTCTTATTGGTTGGTGATAGTTGTTTTGTGCGCAGTGAGCAGCGAAAATAAATAATGGCATAGTGGCCAATCTAAATTGTATTTGTATTTTAAAAACAGCAAAGATGCAGTGACGCATATTTTCATATTTTAAAACCACAAGTAAATCTGATAAGGAACCTGATCAAAAGAGATCCTAAGAAGATGAAACTGCACAAATGGATCAGGATAGCGAGAGACAGAAGAAAAGCGATCTCAAGTCAGCTGGAAAACATGCCAGAAGAGGTAACTGTGGACTCTTCTTGAAGATTAGACTAGTGTAATTTAATTATTTGTTTTCCACTTGGCACATAATAGTGATGTGAGCTGAATAGTGATTGTTTATCCTTTTGTGTTTGTACGTAGCTACATGTTTTTATTATTCATGACTGACCTATAACATTATATGGCACAAAATAATTAAAGACCGTTCAGAAATGTAATGCTGTTGTTTTGCGCTATCACTGTTTAATGATGTCATATTGCGGGAAAACTAAAATTGTTTGGTGGATTATTTCCTGGTTTTGTTCAAGGAATTATTCATTCACAAATTAAACACTGCATATTAGAAAATGGGATTCTAAATCATGGCAAGTTGCCTTCTGCTGTTTTGTTGGACACAATGTAAACCGATGAAAAACCCCACAAAAAAAGAAGACCGACCATTTTTTTAAATACACATTTCTAACACTCTAGATAGAATGGACTAATGTGCAGTTTATTGCTGACGAGTGAATATATATGATTCAATAAATCAATCAAGGTCAATGGGATCCAGGTCCTAAATACCCAGAATGCTTTGAACTGTAACGACACGTTCACATTCTCCATTAATTACTCATTTTTATGTCATTTTAACCCCCTAAGATCTTTGTTCAACTTTAGAACACAAATTAGGATATTTAAAATGAAATTCGAGAGCTCCCTCATCCTCCATAAACAGCAACAATGTTAAAAAAACAACCAAAACAATGTGAAAACCTTCTATGTGACTTCAGTGGTTCAATAGGAGGCTCCATGAACACTTTTCTTTACCAAAAGAACTATAAAAATGACTGTTCGCCAATGTTTTTTTTTTTACTACAGATCAGGGTGTATGTTTACATTAGATTCAGCAGTGCAACACGCACACGTCGTATTTCCTGTAGTAAATGTGCACCCTGATCTGATGCGGAAGACATGCAAACAAAGTGTTCTTCATATGATTATAGCTGAACCACTGAAGTCCAAGGGAATGGTTTGTTTTTGGTTCCTCTACTGGACTTAAACATCTCAGGCTATATAGCATAAGGACGCTCTAAGATTTCATAATAAATATCTTAATTTGTGTACTGAAAATGAATGAAGATCTCAGGGAGCTGTAACAACATGAGGGTGAGTAATTAATAACAGAATTTTAATTTTTGGGGTAAACTAGATCTTTAAGCTGTGCATTTGCCTAAAAATTATTACATTGTATAAAATGGTATAAATAACTTTGATGTAAAAAGTTCCAAGCCCCAGTAACCTGTAGGTGTGCTGCTGCGGAAGGATGATGAGGGTGTGATGGGAGGCGTGACAGGTGGAGTTAGGCTGCCGTTGCTGTGGCGTGGAGGTGTAGCTGTACTATTACGCGATACACCGCCGGTGACTGATATAGCAATTTTGGGTTGGACCTTCTTCTTCTGCGTTTCCTGCTCTCTGCGAGCTGCTTCAGTCATGAATCTAAAAAGAAACAAAAAGGACATGTCAATATTTATCTACTGATTATAGTATCCTTAAAATGACAGTAATTTAAAACTTTATACAAACAGAAGCTACAATTGACTGTAGTGTGTGTTAAATATAAATGACCTCGACACACACAGTAAAATGCTTTGCTTTGTGTTTTTTTTTTTAGCTTTGTGTAGCTTTCAAACTGTAACACTAGTAGTGACAGTATAAAGTATTTATTTAATTATTTTCATAAAAGTAAGGCTACAAGCCAAGCGTAGCTAAGAGGTGATTTTATGCTAGCAAGCTGTAGCCTTCATGGAACTGAAAGTGTTAGGATTATTATAAATATGTTCGCCATTTTTGTTGCAATTTTTTGCAGTTTATTTGAGATTATATTATTGTTGCGGATGTTTAAGGTATCCTGAATATCTCTTTATTCAAAACATTTGAAGGTTTCAAAATTTTCCTAAGACAAGAATTAGTGTTGTTTCATAGCAGAACTCGGTCCTGGAGAGCCAGTGTTCTGCAGAGTTTAGCTCTAACCTCAATTAGACACACCTAAACTAGCTAATCAAGCTCTAACTAGGTGTACTAGAAACTTTATTGTGGATGTGTTAAAGCAAGTTGCAGCTAAACTCTGGAGGACATCGGCCCTTTAGGACAGAGTTTGAGCAATCCTGTTTTATAGTTTTTTTAGGATAATTTTAGTATCCTAAAATAATATTATCGCAATGTGATCATTTGCAGTAGTCAAATGGCAAGAATATGCAATGATGAGTCTGGATTATAATTTATCATTTTGTGAGGGTTTAAAGCATTCAGGCGTAAAATAATGTACCGTTTGTAGCTTTGAGAAATTAATAAAGATTAATTTTATGGAACTGTTTATAAAATGAAGAAAATGCAGTAGTATTTCACATTTTATTGTTCAATTCCTGTATACCTGAATACATTTGGACTCTTGGGAAAACAATAAGCTGTTCATTAAATTTGCAAGTTTTTCTTTAATAAATGTATCTATGCTTGTAGATTATTATATTTTATGCACTACCCTTCAGAATCTTCCCAATCAATCTAAAATAATAGATTCTTTAAAAACATTTATTGAACTCATGTGGTGAAATTGTATTCATATCTCAATATATATCATAGAATAAAAAAAATTGCAATGTGTAATTTTTTAAATATCGTACAGCCCTAGATCATTTTGATGAAAGTTGATTTTGATCAACTTCAAATGTGGACCTGTATATACACACAAACAAACAATTCATTTACAGCAATTGTTATTAATCACTTTAATATAAGCCTTTACTTTGGAGTCATCTTTAGAAATCTAAAATGCTGTTTAACAGATTAAGAAACATTATTATTAACATGTTGCTGGAAATTGTTGCAATGAAAACCAGGAATTACTCTTTTAAGTAATTTTTTATCACTAGAAGTTTGAAAAAAACACAGCACATTTAATAGAAAATGAAATCTTTTTAAATCATCTTAAATATTGCTCAAAAACCTTTGATCAATGATGTGTGTACATCATAAACTTTAAGACAATTGTATGAAGCAAATTATATCAAACGAAGACAAAGCAGTATTATTTCACATTTTATTATTAAAATACTGTATACCTGAATACATTTGGACTCTTGAGAACTCAGTGTTGAAGGTAATAAGTTATTTAAATACCTCATTACTTCAACTTAAATGGAGTAAGTTCACAGTACTCATTCAGATTTGTTTTTTAACTCAAATGATTTGTAGCAATCGGTTTCCTCAATCGGTTTGAGTTGCCTTAATTTATTGGGTTTTACAGTACTCAGTTTGAGTTCTCTTTATTTATTGGGTTTTACTGTGCTCAGATTGTTTCCTTTACTCAAATGGATTAAGTTCACAGTACTAAATAGGATTCGTTTTTAAACATAAATGGTTTGTTGCAATCGGTTTCCTCAAATGGTTTGAGTTGCCTAAACTTTTAAGGTTTTACAGTGTAGTGACATTGTATTCATATCGCAATATATATCATAGAGCAAAATATCACAATGTGTAATTTTTCATATAGCGTACAGCCCTAAATCATTTCGATGAAAGTTGGTATTAATATACGTATATATACACACAAATAAATAGTTCATTTACAATAATAGTTATTAATCACTTTAATATATTTTAAGCCTTTACTTCAGAGCCATCTTTAGACATCTAAAATGCTGTTTAACGGCTTAAGAAACATAATTATTAATATGTTGCTGGAAAAGGTTGTGATGGAAACCTGGAATTACACTTTTAAGTATTTTTTATCACTAGAAGTTCTAAATAACACTGCACATTTATTAGAAATTTAAATCTTTTTAAAGCATCTTAAATATCACCCATAAACCTTTGACCGATGATGTGTGTACATCATAAACTTCTTAATGACAAATTTATGAAGTAAATTAGCATAGAAATATTTCAACATGCACACCGATTGATGTAGCTCAGTGCGACGTATGTGGGCTGCTGCAGCTCCTGCCGCTCCAGAACTCTAGGGTCTGTATCTGAGAAAGGAAGAGACAAAAAAAACACATTAGACATATGAAGCTGAATAAAATACACATATAGCACTGCACCAAAACCTGACATTTGCACGGTACAGAATGTCATATGCACTGTAAAAAATGCTGGATTCAGCACAATTGATTTGTGTTAGGACAACATTAAGGAATTAAGTGAACTTATTAGTGTTTACAAATTTAAATGGATAGAATTTAATAACACAATTAAGCTGTTAAATTGAAAAGCCTCAAAGAAAACTTAAGAATTGTGTTGTTTTCAGCTCATTTAAATAAGTAGTTTGAACAAAGTGTGCAAAGCAACATCTTGAAACATAATAGTGCTTACTATAAGTTTACTCAAACAAGAACCCTTAATGCCCCACAGCCCAGACCAAACCACTACACCACCACACTTTTTCCATTCGGCTTGTGACAGCAGGCAGCTTCCATTGCCTGAGGCTCAACAGGCAATGCTTCAAAGTTACACAGCAAAGTGTGTGTGTGTGTGTGTGTGTGTGTGTGTGTGTGTGTGTGTGTGTGCGTGTGTGTGTGTGTGCGTGTGTGTGCGTGTGTGTGTGTGTGTGCGTGCATGCTTATCTGTATGATGGCCTGAGACTGCCCTCATGTGGCAAAGAGTCCTTTTTTGTTCGCATTTATCAGTGTTATTTGTACAAATGTGCACATGCTTGCAAAATGGTATTTAACAAAGACATTTTTCAGTGTGTGCTCATGAGAAAGAGAGAAAGAGAGAATTGTAGGATGTTAATTGCTGCTTAAAGCTCATTAAAACATAAATGGTGCACAGAAGACCTCACAAAGAGAAAAAAGACACACTGCTGAGTGTGTGCGTGTGTATGTGTGTGTGCTGGCACATTCCACATTTGTTTAAATGACCGCTTGGAGTAACGAGAAAAAGAAAATATGTTTTTTTTTTCATGTTAAGATGGTTGCGTTGCATGCATGTGCACAGTTATATGTGTGGTGCATAAGAGGCAGGGTATATAATAAGTGCCATATGTCTAAATGAGGGATTACTGAAAGCCATTAAAGGCATTCCATCATGTTCACTTCACCAGTATTCTCCCTTAACATGGAGCGACTTCTACAAGCTCACTGTGCAAAACATGCCAGACCTCCCATGCAAATATATGTCTTTTGCACTGTCAAATTTCACACAATGTTACGGTCTTGTATTCCAAAACCCAAATGAACTGCATGAAGTAGCAAAGAGTAGCTTTTAAAGGAAAACCGGTGTAGATTGTATCTGTTTCTGCCTTATTATCATCAGAGCACTTTCTGGTTTCAGCACTGCATGTATCAGGCCTTCCTCACCTCATAAAGGGGACACACACACGCACACACACATCTGTGTATCTCAGGTGGTCCTCAGAGGTGGTCTTCATCAGTGGTTTATTAGCATTTACAAATCATTTACCTGCTGGTGTGCCTTTTCAAGCTTAAACATAATTGTCATTCATTAATAATTCGCAATTAGGCTAAAACAATTTAAATGGATTAAACAAATATTATTTAGCAGATGGCATTTTAGTGACTTTAAAAATGACCAACAGGCGATTCAATAAAACAGCTTTAAGGAAAGCACAGAGGATTTTTTCAATAGTACATTAAGTGCTTAAAGAGGAAAGGAGTTTTCAGTTATTTTTCATAAGTTTTCATTTCAGTTATTTCTCTGTATAGTATCTATGAAGACTGTTTTTAAAATCGAATATATGATGCATTACAGTTAAATAAATCTAAAACACACATGCACACACACACACACACATATACATGCATTATATATAAATCAGCATTTAGAGGTACATCCTTCACAAATCTCTCATTTAAATGAATATTTTAGGATACTTTACAATATCATGTTTATATACATTAGTTTAGTCAATACTAAAGCCAAATCTGGAGCTTATCTAACAAAATAACTTACTATAACGGTCCAAAAACTAGTAGACCTAAATTTATGTTATAGAAAAATATTAAATACAAATTTTTAAAAAGAGGACAAATCAAGAGAAGCAAAAACATTTAAAAATTTTGTAAGTTGTAATTTTTTTGCAATATTTAGCTTGAATTAAATTGTATTATCTTTCAATTTCTAAATATGTTTGGTGACTAAAATATTATTTTAGTAAATGTATCTGTTTAATAAAAATGTTTTGTTTAAATGCAGCAAAATTCATTGCCTATATTCACTGAGAAATGGATAAAAATATTCATTTTCAAAATGGGGTGTACTCAGTTATACTGAGCACTGTATATATATGTATATATAATGGCTAATCAACAAATAAAATATACATTGGTTACTTAATGAAACTAAAATAAAACAGCAAAACTGCATTTTTACACATTTCTTGTATTACTTATTAATACATTATTTATCGAACTGTATTATTATTATTATTTATTAATTTATTTGAATTTATTTTCCCTTTTTTATTTTCCCTTTTAGGCATGGGACAATAACCATTATCAAGGTTTGGAAAAGTCGTTTTCTGATATAATGTTGTGTGTTAGATTTTTTATTTACCTTTTTTTTCTTTTTCTTTTTTGGACAACAGTATCTCTGGCAGAAAATATATTCAAAGATGCCATTTAAAAATTGTGATTTTTTAATTCATTTGAATTATTTAGCCTAACATGTTTACTGTCCCAAAATATTTAAAATGTTTCTTAAAATAATATATTTTTGTGTTTATGTGGGATAAAAGTTATTTTTTACCCGGAAATTTAAAAAAGAATATATTTTAGAGCAGTAGTCACAATACTGTGAAACCGTGATTTTTTTAACCAGGGTTATCATACTATCAGAATCTTATACCGGCCCATGCCTACTACAGTAACACAAAACTGTCACAGTTTACTATGTCATCAGTTACTCATAATATTACTTTATAACTGTTAATGCTGCTCTTTTTCAGTACAATTAAAGATCTAAATAATATATTTAAAAATAAAACATTTTAAAAGTTTTATAAATTGTATCAGTCTTTAAGTCGTGTTTAAGGAACATATTTGAAAATCGTGGCAGCGTCAGTTTACTTCATTCATTCATTCATTCTCTCTTCGGCTTAGTCCCTTTATTAATCTAGGGTCGTCACAGCGAAATGAACCGCCAACTTATTCAGCATATGTTTTACGCAGCAGATGCCCTTCCAGCTGCAACCCATCACTGGGAAACATGCATACACACACTTTTAGAAACATAAACTACGGACAATTTTAGCTTATCCAATTCACTTGTACTGGATGTCTTTGGACTTTTGGGGGAATCTAGAGCACCCGGAGGAAACCCACACAAACACAGTAAGAACATGCAAACTCCATACATGACCCAGCCAGTCTTGCTGTGAGGCGATCGTGCTACCCATTGTGCCACCATGACGCCCTTCTGTTTACTTCCAATTCTGTAATTTATATACTACTGTTCTGCAACAGAATATTCTGAAAGAACCTTTGGTTTTTATATTTGAAATTAGTACTAGTACATGCGTGTAAGTGTAATTATGTGCCAGCCAGGTGCAGAACAATAAACGGTTGCCAGAGTTAATGTTTTCCAATTTTATGATTTCCTTTCACCTACAAAATGAAAGCACACAAGGTCTTTCCACAGGAAAAGTTGCAAGGAAATACATATGCACACACACAAATACACTTAGCATTTAGTGCTTGTTAAACTGAAGGCCCCAATTTTCACATTTAGCAAAATCATAACTCAGTCCAAAACTACAAGCATCCTTACAGCAGCAGGAACGTCTCCCAACCAGTAGCAGTAATATTGCATTTTAATGGGCCATGACCGGTATTAAATCCCTATGAAATCTTTATGTAGGGCTAATAATGTCGGGCCCTCTGTGAGGACATTAAAGAACTTTCTCCAATAAACATGCCTTTTATTCGCAGGCATATCATTAAATCCTTTGCCTATCAAAGCTCACTGGGCTATTTGATGCAGTCCCAAACGCTGATTTGGAATCAGGTGAATCTAAATAAGACAGATGTAGTCGAAGTAGCTCTGAACCTAGCAGAAGAGCGAATGTGCCACCCTGTGGTTAAACACAACACAAAAGCTATCAGAAAGCAAAAAGTGTGTCCCTGTTAGTGTGAGTCTGAGGAGCCTGGCATGGAGCGGTGATGCAGGAATGCCGGGTTTGTTTTCCAGACGGCTAATTAAAAAGCAGGGGAGTGTTTTAATGTGCTGGAGAGCAGCAGGTCTCCGGATGGAGGAAAAGGAGGAGGAGGGGAAAACAGGCGGGAAGGAGAGGATGGAGAAAACTCTAAACGAGGCTGTAATTACATTTCTCAGAGCTCAGCAGGATACAACGCTCCAAAAAACACTTCCGTATGTACACACAAGCACACGCAAGCTCAAGGACGAGGGCACACATGAAAAGGGAAACCAAAACATTAGCACTCACACACGCAAATGCACAGATTACGCACACCAGTACATACAAGCAAACACACACAGGGTTTGGGGAGGGAGGAGAGCTGGTGTTATGGATTTTCCACTGGATCTCACTAATTGCCTCATAAAAAGGCCTGACGAGTCATTTTCATTCTCTCTTACACATGCACACACTGGCAATTAAATCATAATGATCTCAACAGAGCTGAACAGAATTTCAATTTCACTCATATGTGTGATTACAATTTCTTGATATTATTTTGTCAATTATATTATCTTTAATTGCAAAAAGGGCTATTTCAGATACAAACACTATATCAGTCATTAGTTTGGAAACAGTAAGATTTCTTAATGTTTTAAAAGGCTGCTTTTATTTGATGAAAAATACCAGAAAAAAACTGAAATAATATTACAATTTTAGATGTAGAATGTTCAGTGCTCAGCATAATTGAGTACACACCATTTTGATTCATTTCTCAGTGAATATAAGCAATGTATTTTAACAAAACACATTTATTAAAAAGATATGTTTATTGAAATAATATTTTAGTCACCAAACATATTTAGAAATTAAAAG